TAGACACTACTTTGAGAAAATGTAATTCTGACCACGAGCGATAATAACGTACTGTTGAAAATCGCGATTGAGCAAGATCTACGTGGCGCCAAGCTGAATCACGCGAGAGAAGCGACGAACCTCTGTTTCACGGAGATGTTCCGAACATGGTTTCCCCACTTTCTCGCATGTACGAAACTATAAAGCGGCGAAATGCGAAGCAAGGACTGCGGAATGAAATGCGAGCGAAAATGAAGAGAGACGGGAGCGCACGCCGCTGCCACTTCGATGAGATCGTTAAAATTAACGAGCGTGTTCCTCCTCGGGGAAATATATTCGCTCGTGCTTCTCTTTCTCTTGAGCGGCGGTTCGCGCGACATTTTTTTCGGCGCGAAGGAGTCCTTCGAGTCGCGCACGACGATGGCAGAGGCGACCGACCCCCGTGACATCGAAATCGCTAATAGGCGTTTTCGCAGTTAAATACAATGTAGTCTTTACACCGATGATGTGCAACTTTATGCGAATAACACGACATCAAAACACTGGATATGCATCGTCACTGCGAACGCTAATTCGTTGCAACATCCAGATATGCATCAGCGTTACATCCAACGGCGTAACACGTTTCCTGCAACAAAGTGTTCACATCCCGCGGAATACCTTGAAACTATTTGCCGCGGGAGGAAGAGAGTTTACGTAATATAGAGAAGACTACTGGCGAATTGTAAATGTGGCGGCATTAAGGTTTAATAATTCACACGCAACCTTCTTGAAACGCAATTCGCGCTCGTGGGTATGTTCGATTAAAAAGATTTCTTTTCGACTGGCACATGCAAGAGGCATGTATGAAGTATAAGAGAAACGATATAAATAATTTGTATCATTTAAAAATATTTAGTCGAAACATTCACCGTATATGCAATCCGTTCGCGATGATAAAATTAGAGAATAGCGTTTTGCGTACGGTAAACGACCAACTCGTGTCGGCCTATACATTGTGTGTGTACATGATGAATAGTGTGATAAATATAAAGATGGAAATATACATATAAGGGGATCAGAAAGGTTTCAACAGCCAAAAACTGAGTGAGATTTGAATGACGGTTGTGAACAAACGAATAAACACAAATACACAAAGTTTCTTTTTTGCAAGTTTTTTGATACATTCTTGATAAACAAAACAAGTTTTGAAATTTCCAAAAATATTAGTAATAAAGGGAGATATTTATATATGAAAGCAACCGCGTGACTCGCGCACTGCTTTCTTCTTGCCGCAATTCCGAGTTAACGAATTGGAATTTTTCGATTTCTTTTGCGCCATTTTGTTGATGAGATCTTTCTCTATAGACTAAACCTAAATTTTGTAAAAAAAACGTCAAAATCAGAGCAATAGCGGCCAAAAAATAAAAAATGTCGAGAAATTCAAGATATTTGTTGTTAAAACGGTATTAAAAAATTAATTTTTATATGTAGACATAGCTTCAGTTTATGTAATACATCTTTATCTTTAATTAAAAAAAAAACCAAGTTGATATCTTCAGACGTTCTTGAGTTATCGCGGCAAAATTAGCGGAAAATGTTGTTTTGAGACAAAACCAGTTACAGTTACAGTTTGGAAACATAATCACCGCTAGAAAATTGATACGAAGCTCAAAATTGCCTATGCTATAAAATGACTTCTCGAGATCAGCTTCCATCTAAGTAACAATCGCAGAACGTCGATTTCTTTCTATCCTGTGCTAGGATTCTATAACTCGTTATTGGACGAAACGATAACGAAATTGTCGTTATCTCCAATAACGAATTACAAAATCCCAGCACTGGCCTCTTTTGTTGATACCAGCGATCTTTTGTCTGCTTCTAACAAGCGTTTTTTATCACGCATCTGGCGCTCCGCGGCCGTGCGCGGCCTTACATTTTTGGCTCTCTTGAACTCAATTTTGTGAATATCAAAATTTTTCTTGCGCCAAAATGTTCTTAAAAGATTGTATTAACCGATTATGTAAAAAGCCAAAAATCGATTTTTAAGAAATTTCAAGCCTTTCTGGTCCCCATAAATATGGAAAATGTGCGTGTTCTAGCAGATACGGTATTCCGAATATTGATACAGTATTCCGACACGTACTTATCGTTACTTTTAACACGTCGCACTATTGCAATACCAATAACATTATTATTGCAAAAGATTCCTGAAATCTAGCAGGGATATCTGCACGACGTGTTACCGAGTTACGTTTTCGAGACCGATACGCGTGTCCTTTGCGTGGCCAACTGATTTTTATCATCGCCAATTTCTTATGATACTTGTAGGTTGATACGCGGTCAGGCTCAGTCTCTCGAGAACCTAACGACCCGTGCACGTAAAACGAGCCTGCTGCCCGCACGCTGTCCGGGGATCCCCGCGAATTAGGGTGTACGCGGCCGAGGAAAATGTATGTGCATGTGCGACGGTAGATATGTCAAGTCGCGGGGGTGACAAATACGATCGTATTACGAGGAAAAGAACCGCCTTTATCGTCGTATTACATGCTCGTATGTACCTCACCCACGAATTCGACCTGTCGATTCGCGGCAGCGCTCGGAGAACACCTGAACGGCTTATATTTCTCTCCTTCGCCAAGCTTACGCTTAAGAAACGACGAGGAAAGTTATGGCGCGGCGAATGCTCCGCGATTGTCCGTAATGGTTCGCTGTGGACTCGAGATTTCTTGACGGAGAAAAGAAAGAACGAGAAGGGGAGTGCGATATTTATAAATTACATAGCGGAATTGCAAAATGGGCGAAACATATATTTAAGAATGTATTTATGAATATTGGAGAGATCATATATTAGAGAAATCGCGTGTAAGAATATTTAAGAACATTAAAGAGATCGTATATTCTCGCGAAATTCGTAGCGTAAAGAGTGGAACAACCGATAAGTACCGATTCCAAAGGCAATTTAATCGCCATTGGATGGAAGAAGGAAGTCGCGATTCCGGCGTTAAAGGCCGTCGGGGCTGTTTCTTTCAGCGATTCGACACAAAGCACCCGGCATTGTGTGCTCCGCAGTTAAAAGCATTCCACGAGGGCGAGACACGCGAAAAAGAAGCGTCGGTGTATGTAGGTTAAAATCTGTTGATGTACAGCTCACACGTGGGTCACACCTTTTCCTTCGCCCACGTAGGTGTCGTCTCTCTCTCTCTCTCTCTCTCTCTCTCTCCCCCCTTCTCCCCCCTCTCTCTCTCTCTCCCCCTTTCTCGCGCGCGGATTCTTTTTTTCTTTCTTTTTTTCTTTTTTTACGTCGTCGGTCTCTCGTGTTTGAAACGACGGGAACCAAATGGTGGGGTTAATGCGCGCACACGCCACGGGGTGTCGACCAATTTCCGGGTTCAACTAATGCACTTATCAGACGGCCAGAAAGGATCCCGAGAGAAAGCCCATGGGGAGGAAAAATAATTGAGACGTTTCTCTTCTCTCTCTCTTCCTCATCACGGTCTCGAGAAAGCAACGCAGTTGCAAAGCAGGGCGAGGAAACGAAACGCGACAAAGCGAAACGAATTTTAACCTTGTAATCAGGAACGTACGCGTTCTAATTCTACGAGAGGGACCCGTCCAACGGAGATTGAGCCGACGAATCAACGGAGTTGCGAACTTTCGTCCTCTCGTAATTGGAAAGTATCCAGTGGAGATGACACTCCCGGTGGCGGCCTTCATCCGCGCGTAATCTTAGCCAAAATTAATCTTTCGTCGGTACGCCGCCGTAACGAACGGACGAACTTACGAGCCGCGGAACGAGACCTTTTTTATTATTTACGCGAAGCGAGTGTGCGACGCGCGCGGAGCGGGGACAGCGTGGCTGTCGCGCGAAAGTCGAAATAAAGTGCTCGTGGAAGTGCTCGCGGTGTAAGATCGAGTCTACCGCCTACATAATTAGACGGTCATGGAGACGACGACGACGGGACATTTGATTGACAACAGGACGCACCTGTCATCGCGGCGGTCGTCAAAGACGCCTTGCCCCCTGTTTAATTAGTCTTTAGTAAAGAGCTCAAAGAGAAAGAGAGCGATGCGAAGAAATTGGGAAGAGAATGCAGCTGTTGGCCGGGCGTGTTACGCGACGCGTACATTTCTTTGAGACACCGTAATTAGATTCCGTCGAAGAAAAACAGGGAGGCCGAGAGAGAGAGAGAGAGAGAGAGAGAGAGAGAGAGAGAGAGAAAGAGAGAAGGGGGAGAGGAGCAGGGGGAAGGAGAGAACCCGAAGAGCAATTACGGTGGGCGTTGTCGATGCAGCTATATGTGCAGCGCGAATCCTTAAGTCTCCCTTTGATCGAGTTCCGCCAAGTAATCGGATGAAGGAGGTGGAAACACAGCAAGCGCTGTGTCCTCGGTTCCGCGACATTTCGGGAGGCACGTGGCGCGTGTTTCAATGCGGCCGATCATGGTCAAGGTATTTTTACGATATACAGCAGCAACGCCCTCTCGTCGCTTTTTGCATTTGCATTTGCCAGGTCGACCGGCCGATCACTCGACACGAGCCATACAACGACGAGATAAGATTTAAAATGTCCGCGCGCGCGAGAGAGAGAGTGTCCGATACATACGATACTATGCGTACGCATCGTGGATCCGTGCGATTTCCTTCCTTCCCTACTTTCAACGCCCTAGAGAGAAAGAGAGACAGACGTCAAAAGAGACGTTAACGACGAACTTGTACTCCACTGACCAGGTTACGAGGGTGCTACGATTATCCGAGATGCTTTTAGCGGCCGACGACAGCCGTCGTCTTATCCTGCCGCGACCGGCGCGGCGACTGTCGCCGAATCTATTCTGAGCGTAATCACGAGGGTATACGCGCGCTACCAAAGATGCAATATGATACCACGATCCTCGACGGGCCCGGTGTTGAACCGAGGTGACGCAATGACACCGAGAGAGAGAGAGAGAGAGAGAGAGAGAGAGAGAGAGAGAGAGAGAGAGAGAGAGAGGGAGAGGGAGAGGGAGAGGGAGAGGGAAAGAGACAGAGGGGGGGGAGAGAAAGAGAGAGGGAGAAAGAGAGTACGTCACCGACGTCGCGGCGACCGCGCCGAATTTCTCGGATTACATAAACCCAAATAATCCCGTGAGTCATTCTAATTCTGGTCGTCGGGGTTGCACCGCTTTCCCGCTCGTCTCTCCGCCTCCCTCCCCCCCTCTCTCTCTCTCTCTTTTCTACTCTTCCCGCTACATTTCAGCCCTCACCCCGTTGTCCCCCCGCGTCTGTCTGGCACACAAATAACTGCGACGCGTGTGTCGTCTCTCGTACACACACGATGGCCCACTTTTCCACGTGGGTCCCGAAATTAGAGAGCACTCCGACGACGCGCCGCTTGCCTTTTCATTTTCGTCGCGACCAACGTGTTAAGCGCGCGCTGATTTCGTGACGTTCTCTTCCTAAATGGCACGGCCGACAGCGTCTGATTAAAAGTCATCCGCGATGGAGCGGAATGGAGAAACATTTCGTGCCTTTATCCCTCGGCCCGGCCCGGCCCGGCCGAGAACACACGCGGGGCACATCGTCCCGAGATCTCGCCGTCATTGTCGTCGTTTTCACGTGCATTTTACGCTTACGAGTTGCTACGAGACGTTAGACGCCTCGGTCCGACCAAGTTACGAGCGTAGTCGATTCGCAGGTACTTCCGAGTACGTGAGAGAACACGGAGTGTACATCCGTAAGAACGTCCGATCGGGGGCGGTGGCCGCGTCCCCCTGGAATCTATGCCGATGAGGCAGTGAATGTAGCGCGGCTAATGAAGAAAAATGATCGTCCGTCGCGCTACACGACACGAAGCCCGCGACAATGTACGCCGAAGTGTATTTTTGACCGTGGCCGACATAGGTGATCTTCCCACTTCCGGCGGAAACTATCGCTGGGAAAAGGGGATTTTCGGCTTCGTGGCTCGGGAGCCCGAGCGGAAAATAAATAAACGGCCGAACATCCGCGCACGCTACGTCGCGTGTCGCCGAAGAATGCAGCGCGCCGCGGCCCGATGACTGCGCGGACACGTTGAATACATTCCGCGCTTTTAGCGATAATGCCGACCGGCCGCGTTTCGGTGGCCGACGTGGCCGATCGCGGCTTTCAGCCGTCCGTCCCAGATCTTCTATTCACGGTCCATTTTCACGAGACAACGACGATCAACCACGTGTCACGGCCTCATGCACGAGGTCGCTGGTAATGGGAATCGTTACGCTTTGGCTGCAACTTGAGCGTGCCAGGGCCGCAGGAGTGACCAAGCGCAAGGAGAAAGAGGAAAGAGAAAAAAAAAGGAAGACACGTGGAATCGAGAAGCGAGTAAAGAGCTAGCTTCACTAATGATTAACTTTAACCTTAGAGCCGGAATTAATGAGAAATAAAGAGCACACGTCGGCTTGCGGTCGCAGTTGAACCGACGCCGGTGAAATCGGACACGAGTCGCACAGATTTTCTCCGTTAGCAAATCTCCGGATCGGCAAATCGCGGCAGAGCTCGCGGCTAGCTCGTAGCCCAAGTTACGGGGGAGGGGGGAGAGGGGAAGAGAGGGAAGTATGTAACACGGAAGTAGCATTAGCGGCAACGACATACGGACGAGATTCTTCTTGGTTTGTGCCGGCGGACGATCGAAGAAGAAATCTCCGTTCCAAGATTTTTACTTGCACAACGAAGGCAACCACGGCGTACGGACTAGATTCTAAGTTTCCCGTTCGCGGCGAACCGGCGCGTGTACATCCCTGCAGCGCGCTGGTTTTATCGGATTCACACATCGGTATAAAAGTAGCGGCGCTACGCGATTCGGAAACAGGTGACCCGACGATCTCGCGCAACGATGACGAAAGCGACGGCGGTCGTGATTCTAATACTGTTCTCGACTTCGGGCGTGCACCACGTCGATTCTCTGATGCAGGAGAGTCTGGGAAAGTTTCTCGGATCGTTCGCCGCGTTTAAACAGTATACATCCCGCTCACCTACATTATTATCCTTGCGCACGAAAAGTGAACCGTTTCTTTTGCCGTCTCTATGTTTTCTGCTGTATGATAGCGCGCGCCTTTTCCGCGTTGTGTAACGACTTGTGGCTTTCCCTTTCAGAGTGAGAATACCCGATTTGCTGAATCAATTGTGCAATAGCTCGCAAGGCTCTAATACGACGCGACGCGACGCTTGCTACGGCTGCTTCTATCGCGCGAGCATCCTACCGCAAGGTTATGCTATGTTGATAGCAATGTCCACGTGCGCCGACAGTTATCTCAACAACACCAGCTACGGCCATTGCCAATCTTACTTGCGAGTACGTTGCGATAGCCGATATCATTTTTTACTCGTTTTATTGTTTCTCTATTACGCGCGTTTCCGCGCGTAAACCCATTTCTTCTCTGCGCATACATTCATATATATATATATATATATATATATATATATATATATATATATATATATCTGTGTGCATGTGTGTGTGTGTACATGTGTATATTCTCGCATTCCTGATTTCACTTCATCTAGAACGCGACGACTATGCCGAATGTGCGAGTGAGTCCTACGATAATATACTGTACGTTCCTAGAATGCGTTCGCCAAGTCAATAAGGACAGCTTGGTAAGACTGAACTTTGAGAACCAATAGTCGATATACGCCTCTCGAAACGCTACGATACTTCCTCTTCGTGAGCTTTACTGCCTTTAATACAACATGTCTTCATTGAACGCTATTGTCTCTCGTCACTCTGTTCACGTCACAGTCGTTCTACACCCGCATTTGCCAGCGCTTTGTATTAGCTTTTCATCTGTATCGGCACCTACACGAGCGGAGAATTACAATTCCCGCGCGAGAAGCTGTTTACTGTAATAATCCAAAAACCTTCCAGAATGTTCTTATCACTGATTAGTCAAGCACTCAATGCATGACACCCGACTTGTGAATATTGTACATATAGATAACGAAGGACATATTGTACAAATATTATCTAGGACATAGACATCAGGAGCGGATTAAGGCCATCGCGAGAAGCAGCGTCGCGAGTCGAGCAGGAGAGACCTTTCGTATTCAACAAAGTTCTAGCGCGGAACAACGTTTGCATAATTAAAGGGAGCAATTTAGCTGTTATCACCCGTCCGTCCCGGAGCCGGACCTATAAATCCTCGCGGACGATCTCTGCGTTCTTGGAGGCCACGGCTCTCTACCACTTCGCTCAGGATGCATCGATGACGTACGTTCCCGGCACGCGCGATTATTCAGAGAGATCACGATTGCCACGAGGACACTTGGCGCGTGATCCTCGCGCACCTCGTAATCGCTCTGTGTGTATTATACAATACAATTGTACAGTCTCGCATCGCACGATGTAATTAAAGTCTGCTTTACACCGGCCGCACCGTAAAATTTACTGCAAGAGCACGAGCGCGACACCCGAATCCATTAACGACGCAACGTTCACGGATACTTTCCGCAGCTCCGAGAGTGCGTCCGTGAGGCCATGAGAATGATCCCCATGTTCAACAGCACGGAGAGGCAGCTCACGCAATTATTCGTCAACACCACCGCCTGCGTGCTGGCAAAGACCCGTTGCTCCTACACAAACCCGGTAACCGGCGCACTCCAGGACGACGATATCGTCAACAAGTTGCACCTACCGACGATGAACGCGATCCTCGTCAACACCGAATACGACATCAACATCGTGCAGTTGCCGTTTCGCCACAGCAATGTGGACGTGTGTTCCAAGTACAGAAACGTCCAGCAGGCGACTTGGCCGAGCGTCGTGTGTTAATTTACAAACAGATATTATCGCGCCAAGAGGCTCCACTGCCGCCGCTGCCGCCGCGGCGTTAAATGACGCGCGGAATGGTTTTACCAAGCGACCGTTGCGGAATGAAATTACCGTGTGCTTGTCCGCAATAAAGATTGTTTCCGTTGGCGCCAACATATCGATCATTTCTACCTCTCCGCGTCGCGACTATTAATAATGACCGCAGTTACGCGACTCGCGCGGAGGCACGCGCCAAGAAAACAACGCGTATCCGCATTCTTCGCGTTCGCGACATCCCTCTTGAGGAGTATCCTCGGGTCTCTTGTTTTTGCACCGGGTAAGAACGAAGTTACACGGAAGGAAGACGACGATCGTCTGACGTACTTTGCGATTTCGCGCGAGAACTTTGGCGACTGCTAGATGACATGGGAGGATGCTAATAGTGACGGAGGATCGGACTAGTCATCCGAGGTCGCGGTATGTATCATCGTTTGAAAGATGTACACAACTCTGCGGAAATATCCTGTTCGAGACAATAAAGGAACGTTGCAACAAAGAATATGCAGACATGTGCAACATAAAAGATACCGCGCGTGCGAAGGAGAGAAAGAAGAGTAAGAGAGAGCGGGGGGACAGAGGAGATGAGAGAGAGAGAGAGAGAGAGAGAGAGAGAGAGAGAGAGAGAGAGAGAGAGAGAGAGAGAGAGAGAGAGAGAGAGAGAGAGAGAGAAAGGAGAGAGCGCGAGAATGTGCATTATTTTTTCGTGAAAGGAAAGTTTCTTTTATATCCGTGCACGCGAGCGAGCAAGTTTCCATCTCAGGGATCACGCCGCGCGAGTATTTCCCGTAACTTTTTCTCGCAGATGCAATCCGCCGAATCCTGCGGGCGAAAAGGAACCGATACCACGTATCCTCTTTTTTTCTTTCTATTTCTCCCTCTTTCTTGTCTCGCCGTTCCTTCATCGTCGTCAACTCTCTCGCTTCTCATCGTTTTCTCGAAACCGTACACGCCAGTAGACGTGCCGCCGCTGCTTGACGAGCACTCGGCGCGCAAACAACTTCATAACGACTTTGGCCGTCGAGCGTGAAAATTCGCAAATATAAACTCACCCGTGAGCGCGCCCATCGGTACCTCGTCACGTACTTTTATATTTACTTCTGTCAGAGGAGAAAAGAGAGAGAGAGCGAGAGAGAGAGAGAGAGAGAGAGAGAGGAACGAGGATGCAAAAAACGCAAATAAACGCAGAAGGATGCGCGTGAACGCGCGGCGACAGTCGAGCGAATTTTTCTCGACGTTTATAGTTTATAGGCGAAAGCGGCCGTCTCTGACAAACTTCCCAGGGAGCTTTGAGATTTCGCGAAATAGAATTCGCAAAGTGCAAAGCGTGCGCGCGGCGAACAAATATTTAAATGACGCTAGCACGCGTTTTCGAGAGTCCACTGCGTAGGCGAGGAAGAATGCTCTTTTGGTTTGTTCGTTCGTTTTCGCGTGGGTGATCGACGCGTTTAATTTCTCGCGGAGAAATGCGAAGGGCTCCATTTGTGGTATCGATCATGCGGCATCATTGTGCCCGAGGAGAAGAGACAGACAACGAGAGCAGGAGAGACGGCTGGGGGGAGGAAAGAAAGAACGCGAACCAAAAAAGAGAAATGAAGCTACGTAGATAAACGGAGGATCGCTCCATTTGCGCGGAGGCGACGCTCCACTTAGCATCTTCCTCGAAATAATTTGAAATATGCAAATACAATTGGCGTACGCATTTGCGTGCGGCGCGAGAGTGTGTACGCTCGGACGGGCGTGTATATCGCAAAGGAAGAGAGGAAGCAAGAGACGACCAAGACCGGCGCGTATATTCGAGTGGCTCCTCACGGTTCGGTTCTCTCGGAGTCAATCTAACTTAACATGCAGATGCAATACGTGGAATCGAGATCGCAGCGACGCGAGGGGAGTCTTGAGTCATTCCTGGCGTCGCTGTCCTTTCCATATGCCCGCTTTAATAGCGACACACCGCACTCTTCTGATCGATCATTGCAGGTTACCGATACCATCAGCGTATACCGGGACCAAATGCATTTAGTACTTTCGATCAGGATCGCAAAAGTGTATGTTATTAACCGACTACAATTTTCCACGGATGGCGCTGTAACCGTCGAGAAAACGCGATACTGTTGTAAAAAAGCCGACAGATATTTGAAATTTGATACTGCACGCGTTGGCAAGATTATTGCCATTATTGTCATTTCTCGCGGTATTTTCCCACTTAATCGATATCTGCTTCAAGAGGTGTACGCCCGGACGTATTACTACCGAAGGGTTAAAAAGTTTCCGGCAAAGCACACAAACGTACGCGCGCCCGCGTGCGGCATCCATACATCGATTAAGAATACAAGAGAAATATCGAGGAATATTCATCGAGCGATTAATTCAATAGCACTCGCGAGCTTAGCGAGTTTCCTTCTCAGACGCTGATATAATTCACTGAGAATTAAACGGAAGAACATCAAGGTGTATTCGGCCCGCAATTTATACAATTCTCTCCAGAGTACTGCCGCGCGCGAATCTTTCGCAGGAGCCTACGTCGGGCCGCGACGTACATTAATCACCGTGATAAATGACGAAATTAAGCCGCGACTTTCGTGAATATCAGAGAGCAACGACGAAACTCCCTTTTCTCAGCCGGCGACAGTCCCCGAAAAAGCGATATCCACCTGCGGATTTCAAGTAGGTCAGCTGTTGCTCTACGAACAGCACCCCTTGAGAAGTGCGCGATCAAACGCCTATTTCCAGCCGATCATCGTTAGGAATGCATCAGCGGGGAATCATCGACGGATCCGTCCAGTGACAATCACCGCGCGACCTCGTTTCGAGAAACCAACATCTATGACGCCGACGCCGGTTCGCGCGTGAATCATGTGAAACGCAAACGGCGGTTGCGCAAAGAGCGGCATCATCGAGCGCGGAGGCGTTGGTATACGTACGTAGTATGTACGAACGGTAAACAGCGTCTCTACAAGCAGAGAGAGAGAGAGAGAGAGAGAGAGAGAGAGAACAAGGGAGAGGAAAACCGATCGAGAGGAACGCGAGCCACGTCATTTCGAGTCACGAGTTTTCTCGTATGCGAAATCGGGACGTACCTCGACTCATCGTGATTTCATCTGCTCCTATTCGTGCACGTCCTACCTAATACGCTAACGAGGAGGGTGGTATCGAGCAAAAATCTCTCGACCCGAGGAAGTTACGGCCTTCTCGGATATACGTGGCATGCGAGGTGCAAGTTCGTTATTTGAGCAGTCCAAGGATTTTAAAAGGTTACGAAATATCCGAAAGATCTTACACGTGGCAAGTAAACGAGCTGACTCGACGGAGAATCGATTAATTTTAAAATCAGCTCGTGGGTGTACATTTTTCGAGACGGGGCATTATACGGATGTTTTGAGGCTATTTCGTTGCGGGGGAAATAAATTAGTAGTCTCTCCGAGCGCGCGATGATAAATAACTCGGTGTTTCATAATAGCGGGTAACATTCGCGTAATTGATGTCCCGACGCGACGGTACCAAGAACGAAAGAAAAAAAGATCTCTCTGAGACAGTTGATCGAAAAGCTTCTCGATTCGCTCGAATTGGACAAGTTCCAAGAACACAATTTTCTATGATCCATATTCCACATCATAATCGCGATGTAATCTCTCTAACTTAGCGTGACTGCTTGAAATAACGTACAGGCTTCCGGCGTATTTTTATCACATTTTCTAACATCGCGAGACGTGTATCTGCTACGAAACATAATTTTTTCTGGTACAACCAGGACAAGTCGTGCGGGGATAAGATCAACGGAAGGGAGCACAAAAATTGATACAATGTATAGACGCGATTAAAACAAAAAAAAGAAAAAAAGAAAAAAACGGTGAAAAAGAAAGAAAAGCGTCTTCGCGAGGCATAAATTGCGCCTTATCGAATCCGAATCCGAATCCGAACGATCATGAATGATTCGGAACCCGCGATCTTCCTTCTCGCGTGACATTGCGCGCCTATAAGTCGTTTTGCAGCGGTAATAAAGCGTCAAACGGAAGGTGAGCTCTGTCCATCGAGATGAGATGACGCGAGCCGGCAAGGGATTTCTCTCTCTCTCTCTCTCTCTCTCTCTCTCTCTCTCTCTCTCTCTCTCTCTCTCTCTCTCTCTCTCTCTCTCTCTCTCTCTCTCTCTCGGCGAAGCTATTCTCGGCGGAATGACGCTCGCGGAATGTTCGTGAGTATATAATAATGGAGGGATAATATCGCGGACGCAGGCGGACAACGGTGACGGCGATGACCGTGTGCGTATGTGCACTTATATATCGCTTGATCTCGCTGGGAAACGCTCATCAACGACGATCGTCGATCTCGCACGCAATCCTAGCGACCTGGACGCGCGCGGCCGACTACTTTTCCCGACCTTTACCCAAATCCTGCTGCGATCGCTCTATGTTTCTGTGTATATTCGCGTTTCACGCTCGTCTAATGCGTACAGTCACTTTTCCTCGTACGGTTTGAAAAATTAATGAATTTTCAAGAACTCATTCGTCGCTCGCAACGTTTAATAACGGTGAGAGACTCGCGCAGGGGTTCTCAAATGAATTATCGTAAGCGTGACTGTCGAGAAAATCCTTACAGCAAATGGTGCAATGTGTTTTTGTTTCGTAGAGAGCGCGCGTATATTCTACTTCTCGTTACTCATTTCCGCCGTTTGATTTGTCACAGCGAGACACAACGTAGCAACTTAATATTTAGCTTCGTTAACGAGATCGTTCTACTACTACGTCTATATTCGTTATATTCGTGTAGCTACGAACTCTACGAAAAGTAGAGTAATCGGTAGCCGTGGCGGCATCTACCAGCGACTTGGCGAGGCCTCGAGATTGCGAGTCTTCGCTAAAAATGTTCGCGGCTGTGTTTGAACGCGGCTGATCGAACTGGTTTCGCGGAGAGCCGCGGATAAACCGGAAATCTTGCGGGATAGCTCAGACATTTGTCTAACGTGGTCACGCAATTTGTCTCTTAATGGCAACCCGGAAATCCCGTACGTTTCGCCGAAGTAAACTAACTGCAATTTCTAATCCAGCTATACGCCGATGTTTTAAATCGCCTGCGATAAATCACTCCGCACCGATTTTCCCCCGAGCCCGAGCGTGCAACCACATTGCAATGCCACGCTACTAAATATATACGTATGCCGAATGTTGCAGCGTCTCTGGGGAAACCATGGAGGAATTTAATCACGATATTCGTACCGACGAGCAAAGGACTTAAGAAACGACATACGTGAACGAAACGCGTCCCAGAAATTGATCAATTCGCGGATTAAAATGGTTCAACTCCGAATACGTCGAATACTATTTTGTGTTTCGAGGAAAGTCGAGACAATATGTGCATATGTATATGCATACAGTCAGTGAAATAGATAAATATATGAATAAGAGTTAGAGAAATAGATAAATAAATCAGATTCAGAGAAATATCATGGGTGTAATGTAATGGGTGTAAACTGCAATACGTTCCAGCGATAATCAAGAGGCAGAGGCATAAAGACACGATTACTTGTCTTTTCCTTTTCTTATTTTTTGCGACGCCCTCAGACTACGCAATCGTCTCCCCTAATTATTCCCACAGTCGATCGGCCGTTACACTCCTATTAATTGACGGGTCAATTGATCCGAATTAAAGTGACGCCCAGTGGATTCAAATTAAGATCAATATCTTAGTCGGTGAATTGGAATATTACTGCAACCGCGACTCGAACTGTAAATTTCTGATGCCCAAACAATGGGAAGCCGTGTGTAATTTTGCCCGAATATACTCTGTACTCGATAAGCATTGACGATAAAACGGTAACGTTACGCGCAGCTTTAATGTTACTATAATTTCTTCGAGTAGAAATCCGTTGTTTGTATCTGCCATGTGCCACGGGCTACGCTAAGTGTCATTAATTTTAATACGATACACATATCGAATTATTATCAATTTCACATGGTATTTTCTTGTAATGTTCTATCGAATTTGAAACATCGCGCACATATCGAATAATTTTCGATATTATAGAACGCTTCGACGAAAAGTTCGATTAAACTGAAAAACAATGGCCAAAGCAGAATTTTGATTTCACGTCGACACTACAAATCTCATTGAATTTGACGATAAAATTTGGAGATCCAAAAGGAACAGAAAGAAGGAAATTTTGTAAAGACAAATATATGTACAACTGTTACGTGTCTAAATGTATATGTATAGAAGTTTAGTTTTAATCTGATACGATAACAGGAATAAGCAGAAATGACAAGTGCAAAATGGAACTTGCAATCCAAGAAATATTAGTTGATATACGAATCAGTGCTTGCAATATTTGCCGTAAATTCGAAACTTCGACTCAGAAAAGTACGCCTGAATGCATATCAAGTTATTATTAATTTTATAAAATATTTCCACGTAAGTTTTTAGTATAGCGAAAATATGGCCGATGAATTTAATCATTTTTATTTCTGAATAATCTTAACGTAAAAATTTAATTTTAATTCGATGGAACTTTTTTCGTTACGAAAAAGTGACTCTACGTTGCCTCTTTACAAGTGTCGCATCTCTCGACTTTCCGGAGCGTATAGCAGATTACTTGGTTCAACGTGTGCAAGAAACAGCCCTTAACAAGAATGTCCCTTTGCCTTATGCAACCTCACTTCGTGATGCAGTCGCATGCATTGCGGCCATCTGACGTAAGCGAGCATCGCGTAATGCCAGCATCAACTATATTATAGGTCTCGCCTACGTCATACCGTGAGTATGATGTCATCTTGGTGGAAACCTTCTGATCATTTATCTCAATGCGAGCTACTTAACTTTTGGCATACACGAATAACGACCGGTGCTCTGTGCTTTAGAAGAAACATATTTTTCATTGCGCACTTTGTACGATGTGTCTTTACGACGTTACATCGCTTCAAATTAGTGGATTATACACCAACCATACTGAGCCGTTGTGTTTCCTTTTCTTGTGCTTACTTTCACAGATATCACGGATAATCAGAAGAGTGTCGAAATATGATATGACTTTAAATATTACTACGGAAATCGAATCAACAAAGCAACCTCAGTCGAGACTGTGATATTTGGAATATTATCGCTGAGTGCAAGCTGTCAAGAATGCATAAAGTGGGGTCTACTTTGGTCGTAGCGTCGTAAGATCGTCGTAAAAGTTCAACCAAATCTTTGCTTCTACGATCTTACGACAACACGATGACTACACATATCCAATCAGCGTTGGCGGTCACGCAAGCACGAAACTTGCATCATAGGTGAGTATCAATAAGGCCAGGAGTTCAGGATACCGACATAACTCTCCTCTGAGAGGCTGGGTCCGCTGGCGTCATCACTGTCAGTGACGTCACCGCCGCGCCGGTGGGAACAGGTGATAGCCACTGTCAGGGAGTGACGTCAAATCGGAGCGGACATCGAACCTCGGCCGGCGCGTTTGCGCAAACTGCGTGTCTCTCGGACGTCTGCGGAATGCAGTGCATACAGATATATCTCGCGATGATTTTACGAATTTCGAGGAGCATCTCATGTGAGAAACTGCGGCCGAAAATAAATGGCGAGAAAATCACGTAACGCGATAATGCGGCCAAGAAACGCGCATGTCAGCCGATAACCTAGCAGTCTCTAGTGACACTCACCTCGTTCAAACTCGTCTTGTATAAGATGTCATGACTCACGAGCGACGCAGGATTATCAGTCATGCTTTGGTGAAGCCTCCCACGGCAGCGATGTCCTTCCCAGGCGATGGCTCACCCAATAAACTTCATGCGCACTCACAACACTGCACTCGAAATCGCAGAAACTGTCACGGCCATTTTGATACTACGGCGACGTCGTTCGCGACGATTTTGCGCGACGTAACGGCCACTGAGTCGCCATCTCGTGATTGCAACGATGCAACGGGGACGAGACGCGAGCGAGCGAGCGAACGAACGAACGAACAAATGAACGAATGTATGTGTGGATAACACGAGCGAGCCGAATGAAACTACGTCGCCGAGTGTGGTCGCCGAGCTCCGAGTATTACCGTCCGCCACAGAGGACTGTTAGCGGTCGAATGCCAAGCACAATACCGACGCTTGGTCGCTAGCGCTACTGTCCTAGGGCTACTGTGTTTATACAGAGTATAAACAACCAAGTGATCCAACTTTTTATCGCACGATTTAACATTACCGACTTTAGCACTTTAGTCAATGGTGTCGCGTATAGATATTGCACGCATCGTGTCGTTATCGGCAAGTTCGGACTGACTTCTCGGCTGCTTAAGCTAAGATCAAGTAAGTAAAAGATGTAGATATTTAACGTGGTAATGCATTATAAAAGTGTAATAAGAATTAACATTATGTACTACGCGCGTTCGAGCTTTGTTTACCTTTTTTGTGATTCTACCTGTTTTATAACCACGACGCGTTGTATATGTTTGCACTCTGCTTGTCTATATACGATATAACTTTTCTATTTGTGACGAATGGTTGATTTTACTTTACGAGTTATTCATGAATTTATCACTGGACAAACACGAAATTCGTAGTCGCATTTATTGCACGGTATTGCAGATTCTGTTTTATCGACACTTACCAACTTCTCCTTTGGCCGAAAGCGTAAGAGCGCTCGTTATCGCGAATTATTATTGCTGACGCGCGACTTTTCACTCGATACTCCTGTTAGTTTCGCCGAAATATTCCACGAAGTATTTATCCTGTTAACGAATACGCGAGACATTCTTTTGGCACTCCCGACAATAATAATCTATACACAAGAAACACACAGAATGGCGTCTCGCATCCGCACTGTAACGTCGCGAAGTACACAGCAACTGATCTGTTAATTGCGATTCTCGAAGTGTCGAACGCGTCAACTTCACTCGGTCAACTTTATTCTCGACTGTTCCGCGATGTTTTCTCGTACGATGACTGTATGGCGATATTTAGGCACGACAGATGCACGAAACTTATTTTAGCCACTCTCGATGATAATTTGCGAATGAGATTACTGATTCGAAAAAATAGCTGATTGAACTTCGAACTGACATAACCTGACAATCGCGCGACAATACTTTCGGTTTCGCCGACCGCGAGATATATTCATTTCCGACGGTTCCTCGATGATATCTTGACATGACAGACGCATGAGCTTTATAGTTTTAATATTTTCGGTTGTAACTCATGCGTGAAGCTTATTTTTGACTAGTCGAAATCGCGAAAAACAGAACGACTTGTTGAGTCCGCCGCGACCGTTTCTTGACTGAATTTTCCTAGATCTCCTTCGAAGTATCCTATTGGCTCAGACAACGTGAGCCAACCAATCGCAAGCGTCTTTTCTATTTTTCAAAATCTACACATATCAATAAGCACAAGATGCTCGAGATAGTTCCGATATAGGAGAGAGATGTACAATTTCGATATAGTGAACATATTTGAAACTTGGTAATATTTTTAATGAAAATCTGCTCACGAAGCCCTCTTTGCGTTACTCTATTTAATTGTACGTGTTGGAAACTACTAAAATTACGATTGTGGTTAACGCTTTACTTTTAGTGTCGTGCGTGAATGTATATCGGAAGTCCGGAATTCAGTGATGGGCGATTGTTTTGCGTGTTCACGGTCCACGAGAGCGCTTCATCTCTCAATGTTCGTAACCGGCGTCTGTAATTGAGTCGTGTCGAAATTATACAGCCGTACGAGGATGCGAGAGAGATGGAGTGACAGAATTTTTTCATCTCTTGGCGAAACGTTTCGAGATTCAATCTTGTGTCTACAGTTTCGGTAAGTTTATGCCTTTTCCCTACATTAATTCTACATGCAAACAAATTCATCGTAACTGTTACACACGGACGAGAAGCTGGTGCATATCAGCATGAACATGTTCGTTCGTGTCTATCAGTGGTGCTCAACGTTAATCAAAAAGCATCGAAGTTACCGATCGTCTCGATCGCTCATCAGATATATTCGGTTAAGTAAAAGCGCGTGATATTGTCTTTTCATCAATTATTAGTCATATCTTAAGGGCTTATACGAATTCGGTATATTTTTTATAATTAACACAGATGCTCGAAATAATTGCATGAACATTTTTCTATCCTTCGGTCTCTAACTCCATTTCAATTATGACATGATAAAGAACAGAACTTTTTTTTTCTTAAGACGATTGTGAGATAAAGCAAACGATAAGAAACCGTATTATGGTAGTTTCCATCAGTCTACGTGAATTTGAATAGCGACTTGCAATAACATCTCGTCGGTGTGTCGGCAACGACCTGCCTGTTGCCAGTAATAAAACCAGTAATAATTACCAACACGAGTTCTCTCGTACCAGGGAACACCGCTTCGTGGTTCACCTCCCGCCATTTTTCCCGTATAACCTTTCACACGGCTGAAACATGGACGTAGACACAGCGAGTGATAATACGTCCATCGACGATAAAATAGACGATTTTTGCGAAAATCCTACGCGAGATGCACTAACGGAGGGTCTTATGAGTTTGTTGAAGCCCACAGTGGACCAGTTGGACGAGAGAATTCGCGCTACAAGGTGAATGAGAATTTTTCATTGTGATTCGGTGCAAAAGTTGCTTACGAATGGTAAACTCCCTTCGCGATATCGTACATATATTATACATAATTTATTGTATTATTATGTGCTTACTATTCTTATGACTTTCATGGAGGGTAATCTCAAACAAATGCATATATATATTCGTTCACACATTTCTGCAATTGCAACAATGAAAAAGTATATCCGATAATTTATTGTTATCTATCTTTCAAATATTGTCGATATAAACTGGGACAGGTTCTGCTACAAAAGGCTCTGATATAAAAATTTGATTTATATAATTATTACTAGAAATCAGGCAGAATCAGCAGAGATTCGGGAGATTTTAATTTGTATGTATTTTTCTTTTTTTACAGGATATGTCAAATAGAGCTGAAACAACGGATTGAATCATTAACCGAGGAACTCCAAAGGATCAATGAGGCACTGCAGTATCCATTAGATACAGATTCTTACGTAAAGAAGCTTATTAATGCTAAGCATAAGATCACTATAGTTAGTAACATCTTGCAAACTACTCAAGAACGATTGAACAAGGTGCATCAAGCTGTAGAAAAGAGTACTGCCAAGAGGAAGACATTGTTAGATAATAGTTCAGCATACAGCAGTGCTACTATCGAGCCAGATAAGGAAGAGCCAGTCCAAGTAGAAACTGATAAACAGAAGCAATAATTGTCTGATGTCCTTAACTGTAAGATTTATGTGATATTATTTCCAAATTATTACTTGAAAATTACTACTTTACAAGTTTTATATCGGAACTTTATATCATTTACATTATAAAAATCATGGAGACACCTATAGTTAAGCTGTCAGACGAAGAGCTCAAAACAGTGTATGAGCCTTCTGAAGATTCGTATCTTCTCATAGATGCTTTAGAAGCAGATCTAAAAGTTCTAGAAGCGATGAAGCCTGTGATTTGTTTAGAGATAGGTAGTGGTTCTGGTGTGGTTATCACAGCTTTAGCGATGGCATTGAAGAGACATCATAGTGCTCAGTTTATTGCAGTTGATATAAATCCTGATGCATGTAGGGCCACCAGGAGAACTAGTCTGGACAATTCTGTTATTGTAAATGTCCTTCAAATGAATCTGTTAGATTGTATACAGATTAGAGGGCAGGTCGATGTTATTTTATTTAATCCTCCATATGTAGCTACCGAATATGAGGAAGTGTTGGATGACAGACTTGTGTTTAAAACTTGGGCAGGTGGTAAACATGGTAGGCAAGTTATGGAACAGGTATTCAGCACGATTCCTGAGATCTTGTCAGATTCTGGGTTATTTTACTTGGTTGTAATTAAAGAGAACGATCCTGAATATATTCTAAGTGCGTTTCAAAAGTTGAACATGTCTGGTAGTATCGTTTGCGAGAGGAAAGTTAGGGGAGAGCATTTGTATGTTTTACGTTTTTGTAAAACCAAAGTGAATGAGATAAGTTAACGTTGCATTTTCGTTGTGTCATCTATTGCATTTTTAACTCTCGATTTCCATTAATGATGAACTGTAAATAGGAGGTATCACATTCATTTGAGTCATATTGTAGATAACTGTAACATCAGTTAGATCACTTTATCGTCGTTTACGAGCGATTGTTATGTACTTTAATTAATTACAGTTAATACAATTATAATATAATTCCTTATTCGGTATATTTTCGGTTTTACTCTCATATCTTTATAAGTTACAGCAGGTAACAGGTGAGAAATAGCGATTGTTTGCTCGCACAAAAGGGGACGATCGAGATGAGACAGCCTTTAGTTTCTTTTTTACAAATATCATAATTTATTTTAACGCTCTTAAGAACTACATTGCTGGGATCGAAGTATATAATAAATACCATGTATATCGCGGTATTCAATATTATGCGGAATGAGCACTATATCGTCGTCCACAAGGACTGTACGAATAGTTTGTTAGATATATTCGTATATTGATATGTAAAATATGGCTGCACCCCTGTTCTGCTGACGAAATGGAACGAATTTACTAAGTTCGGACAACGTTAACGCGCTGTATAAGATTTACTTATAGAGATATGTAGAAGCAACGAGTTCAATAAAATTATCGACACATTATTGCCGTTATTCGCTAACTGTGGCTCCAAACAGTTACTCCAAACATTTCGGTGTGATATTCTCCGGCGTTCCTTCCATTCCTCGATCAGTTCCTTCGTAGGGTAAGTAATAGTAGTGAAGCGATAGGATAACGGTCACTTGTTCCTTAAGCAGGTATTATTTGATTACTGGCACGCGTTCATTGTTCGCTACGCAACTTGTTTTCTGGTGTTATGCACGATGATAAGGAGAAAGAGGTATTACGAGTAACACCTTTCTACGAATCCACGAATTTCGTTCTGCGGATCCGTTGCAATTTGATGTAGAACACAGCCGCGCTCACGATCGCGATCGAGAGCATGCTCAGCATGAGAGAGAACGTCGTGTAAAAGCCTCCGTTACTCATGCAAACATTCTTCTCTTTTGTCATCGTCTCGATAGCTGTCTCCTCCATGCTCTCTAAAATCTGGTTGGATGCTGCGCTTAAATCATCTAGCATGACGACTTTGAAGCCGCGTCCAATACGGACAGGGTCCGATAAGAGAACCGGGTTTGTTGTGGTGTTCAATGGCGGTGCATATGTTAACGACCGGCGACGTCTGCCTGGTTCGATTTGCTGAAATAGATTAGTCATTTGGAATATAAGCCATAAAATTTCCTTACGTGATTCTATATAATTTGTGCATATAATTGGTATTGGTATTTACAAGAAAAGTTGTAATTTATTTTTAGATGTAATTGAAATGTTATTTTGTTTACATAACATTTTTTTAGGGAACTATGTATATGTCCTATAAAGTTAGATTATATATATATATAATTTAACTTTATATATATATAAAGTTAGATAATTTTAATATTTAATATTGTCTTACTTGATTTGCTTCTGGGCAAGACTCGCAATCCGTTTTGCAGAGCTCGACGTTACATTCGATGAATAGGTCCATGACATCAGGGAATTTGAAAGCTTGGAAAAACGCGTAAGCTATAATAGAGGCGCCTGTGTTTCCTGTGTCGTTTGTCTTTTGGAAGGCACCAAACAACTTTGGCTTCAGAATGCAACCTCTTTCGTCAGTAAGTTGCAGCGTATTAGTCGAGGCTTCATCTCGCGCCAAACAATCGCGCACCTTGAAAACGATCGTATATTGTTCAGTGTCATTTTTTGAATTCGTGTTTATTGCTTCTAATCTAAAATCTTTACCAAGTTATGCAATCTGAAAAATATTAACACACCGGAGAGTAATTGTAAACTTGTAATTATTTTGTGTATGCTCGATTGCATTTACACATTATTTTAATATCGACGAACTACTCGCGCGTAATTCTATTATACAAATCACCATCGCGGATATAATTTTCGACATACCTGAAGATCGAAACCTGGATCGCCTTCCACGGTAACGACCAGGGTCATTGTTTCTCCGATCTTCACGAGTCCGTCGGCGGCTGGTGCGAAGGGTCCTCTGCCAATTTGAATGTCCAACTTGGCCGAAGCTGTGTCACCGCTAAAGGTAACGATCTCCTGGTTCAGCATGTCCACGGAGAAATTAACAACTAAGGCCTTGTTAATATTTCCTTCCCAAAGGCATCTCACCCTTCGCACTGTGTCCCACACTTCTTGTATGCCCGGTTCGTTCTGAAGCAAGGAGAACATTTTAATCGATGTCTGTTGGTCAAATGTGGTTTTTCACGCGAAAACTAAAGTAAATCTAGAGAAAATTAAGATAAGTTAGGAAAGTAGATTCAGAAATATTGATGGCTCGGTATCGACCTGCAACACGAGGACATTTTCCAGGTACGCTTGGCCAGCTTCACCCTCAAAGTCGTTGATGAATTGAGTTCCGCACGAATCCAAATTCACGGTGAAAGAGTACATTGTCTGGCCAGAATTTTGTGCCACGTATCTGCATTCCGGGTTCATATAGAATCCCTGAATTTCGATAGAATCGATATATTATTGATAAGATTCAGGGTAAGACCATTTCGTTCGAGGAGTGTTTCGTGTTTACCTTGGAATAAATAACACCGTCGAAAGCGCGGTTGAATTCAATGTTGATCGTCATCATGGTCTTACTACATATCACATCGAGACTGTGAATGTGTGGGGGATGATTGAGGTCGTCTTCGACAGCTTAACGATAAAATTATGAATTATTACTTCATTTTCACCTCATCATGCACCTGTTACATTAGTGTAGTAATTTCAACATACCGTTTCCACCTTCACTAGTACCTGGTCCACCTCCGGTTTCTGAACTCCCTGTACCGACTTCGGTGCCAGCACCCGTTTGACCAGATGTGAAAGGCGGGCGCGGTCTTTGCGTGGTAGATGGATATCCAGCAGTCGAAGTAGACGGTGGATATCCTCCGCCCGTACCTGGATAACCACCACCGGTGCTGCTCTCGCCGGGAGTAGGGAAGCTGGGAGCTGGCCGTTCCGACGGATAGCCGTATGACGTGGAGAAACCAGCTGGTGGTGAGTATATTCCTGTAATCGGTGGTGTTAAAGTTCCACTGCTACTTCCTCCGATGCTTGCAGGATATCCTCCTGAGGTGCTGCCGATACCGGCCGAAGTCTGGAAGCCGCTAGGCGAGAACCCACCGGCGACAACCGTGGAACTAGACAGAGGCGGTCTTGGGCTGGTCGACGAGGGGAAGGACGACGGCTGTGGCGGAAGGTAAGTGGTTGATGTGTCAGGTGGATTTAATGGCGGAAAAGCAGACGAGCCGGCGTTCGTGTACGAAGGCTGGCTCGGTCGAGGATTGTAGGACGTGGAGCCGCTGAAACTTTGCGGCACGTATGTCGATGAAGGTTGTTGGTTACTGGGGTAACCCGGTCGGGGAGTGGAGAACGGCGGTTGCCCGACGCTCGGCGGGGTGTAGAGTGACGACGGCCTCTGAACGGGGAAGCTCGTTACATCGTTTTGGCTAGGTGATGGGTAACCCGGTTGAGGGGCCGGTTGAAAGGGTCGGGGTTTCTCGGGCGGTCGTTGAGTGCTGTAAGGCGGCAGATATGCGTTCGAGTCCGATTGCTGGCGAACTGTAAGAACACGTATGCTAATCAAGAGTGAGAAATCACTGGTAATAGTGACGTTTACGAATACAAATGAGCCTTAGTAATCTGTGAATAATTTTATTCGCAATAACGATTACAAAAAGAGATTATTCGACAGTAATTGAGAGAGAGAGAGAGAGAGAGAGAGAGAGAGAGAGAGAGAGAGAGAGAGAGAGAGAGAGAGAGAGAGAGAGAGAGAGAGAGGGAAAAAGGAATAAAATAGAGAAAGAGGGCGTGAAGTGCGTGTGCTGAATAGTTAATAGACTTGACTGGTGCATCGTAAATGAAAACGTTCGCTGTCGAACGGATCAAGCGTGCATCAAAGCCAATCCCAGCGTCATGAACATGAAGAGACTTCCGTGACGCCCACGGCGTCACGGTGAAGTGATTGATGAATAGCGCGGCAAAATGGATTAATAATTTTGCACGTCTCAGTTTAATTGGACGCGGCGGCGTCGGGCTGCGCATAGTCGCAGCTTTTGCGCACAGAATTCTCATCTACGTCCATGGTAGCGGTAGCGTTCCCCTGACCATCGGCGCGTCACTGAACTGTCTATAAATCAGAGCGCGCAACGTCAGATAGCTAAAAACCGATCGCCGTGAAAAGAATACTCGTTACTCGGTGATGTATATGTGTACGCGCGTGGCGATGGGACGGCTTCGCATCGCGCCGTTTCCTCTCGACGGCTGAAAGCGGAACCTACTTTTACGTGCGCCTTGCTGGTAGATCCCCTGAATCCACTCTAGGATATTTTGCGCCATCACGTCTGCCGGCGATGCTGGGGCAGCTCGCGGGACTCTCGAGCGTGCTAACGAATTTTAAACCATTTTGTTTGTCATCAAGTCTCATAATTATCACCGACAATTTTCGCACTGCCTCTCTCTCCGCCGATCTCATCGATCGCATCGAAGACGGACTCGCGGGGTCCTTTCGCACTTTGTTTCTTTTTCTCTTTTTTTTTCTTTTGTTTTCTTTTTTCTTACCGGCATCCGCGTCTGCAGTTCTGACGAATAAAGCGTGACTGCCGAAGTCTTGGCCCACCGCTGCGCCTGAGAAAGCGACGACGAGGATCGTCGCGATCAGCCTCATCCTCCCCCTGCAAAAATTCGCTTCGGTCAATACAGCGTTCCCTTCTCGCTCTGCATCAGTACTCTCGATTTCGCGAGGAATTCCTTCGACAATATAATCAGCTCTCGAAATCGCCTTCGTGCCGCGGAGGTCAAGTGTCATCGGCATGGGTCTCGGTATAACCAAGGATGATGAGTCGCGGACGCGGCGGTAGGCCGGTCGAAAGTAGAAAGTGATCATTATGAAATCTATGGCCGTGATCGCAGCTTTTGACAGTTGACGTCACCGTGCACAAGCGAGATGACTTATTATTGTGAGCAGAGGAGCGAGAACGGTGCGAACGCGCTCACGTGTCATGATTTCTCCTCAAGGTCTGGGTTTCCGCGTTCTGGAGTAACGCGCACGAAAAATGTTGGCGGTTATAAAATCACGTTCTAATGCATTATGTGCATATGTTCAGATATATTGTGCGTTTCCATTCAAGGTCTCGGTATACGCGTGCGCGCGTGCGCCTGAGCTGTGCGAAACGATCTAACTGTTTTCAGTCGAATTTCGAAAGCTGGATGGCCGAAGGATATCTCAGATTTCTAATTGGACTGTGACTGCCGGCGTTTCGAATCACGCGAATGAAATTCAACGGTGAAAATTAATTAACCGCGAAGATTTCGGCAAGCGATGACTGTACGCGGATAATTATCCATCCCGTCGGAGCGAGCTACGATTGGCCCGTTAATCTCCAAGGTCCTGCTTACCAGCGTGCTCTCCGTGGCACGTTGGCGAAATTAATCGTCGTAGAAAAGAAAAAAAGAGAAAAAAAGGGAAGCAAAGAAACCGCACAATTATGTGTCGACAGAGTTTTAGCGGAAAATTTAGCGTGCGAGTACTAGCGCTTGTCTTTAATCTCGGATCGCGATCGCTGAGATATCTTTTTACTCGTAGCCGGTGCCGCGTTTCCATTATTGTTCGCTCTTATTCTCACGTGTGCGGCAGAGCGGCAGTGGCGGCGGCGAACGTTGGCGCGTTTCGTCAGGACGAATTACGAACGGCATAAATCGCGTCTCGTCTCACACGTCTCATAATTCCAGGCTACCTTGTTGGGAGGTAATTTATGTGTACGCTCGTGGGCGCTTAATCATGTATTTTTGGTCATACGAATGCTGCCGGGTGACTTTCTTCCGCGTAGACAAGACGGGGCACGTCTTTTCACGGGCGACGATCTTCATTAATATTATAACGCTCGCAAGATCACCATAAATCCAGCTTTAAATATGATCTCCGCGTGTTTATCCGCGTTCCTCTCGCGTTCCATACGAGAAACAATGTCATATTCACTGTAGAAGACAAGATGACATGAAGAGACAAGAGTGAAGAAGTGGAACGGAGGAGACACGAGTACTTCTCGAGACGAGCGCGAGACGTAACGGCGGGGAATTGGTATACAATGGAATTATCGATCAAGATGCGATCTGAAAATTGAACGTTTAACTCGGACATCGCACAGCACACCAATTAACGTACTCGAATAATCACTCTGTTACAATAATTACGTGCGGTCAATCGCGCGTAAGATAGCACCAATTGTCCGCGTGGCATCGGGCGGACGGTAATTGTTTTCCGTTCGCGTCGTTTGCGCAACACTCGATACGCTCGATACACAGAGCGCACGATTCCTCTGCGGGAACTGTCGGCTGGAACTTTTCCGGCAGCTTCCGGCCGCTCAAACGAGCGAGTGTCATCTCGTCACGGTCGCGTTCGATCTTACGGTCACTTTCAGTTAACTCGACCCCGGTACACCTCTGTAGGAAGCAGCAGAGCGCGCCGCTACGTCTTCGCACGGGTGCTTTCCATCGCTTCAGTTTTATGCTACGAATGCGCCAGTGAAACCGAATCGTGACGCGCGCCTTTTTCGGCCGTCTCGCTGCTCGCTGCTCGCTACTCGTACGATCGTCCGCCGCGGATGCTGCATCCGATCCGCTTGCGGATCGATGCATCGGTGGGGTAAGAGTTCGAGAAGTCAACGGTGGAATCGTGCTCGAGCGAGGTGAAAGGTGAAAGTCGCGCGCCGACTAGACGAACGTGTGTTCACATTGGAGAGACACGCTAGAGCGTCCCTCTTTCTCACTCTCCCGTAACGTGCGAGTACACGTATCGCGAGATTCATCACAGGATCCGCGTCGACCTATATATGCCTAAACCCTACGACTTCGTCTCCCTCTCTTTCTCCTTCTCGTCGCGTCCTTTCTCGTCCTTCGGTCGTTTCACACACGCGGATAAAACGCCGTGGTTTTTGATTTTCTGGGATCTTGGTTCCATATTTCGTCGACCGCACAGGTACATAGCTACTATTGGATTTTCCACGGGACTCCGATAACATAAAGTTTGGGCTCCTCGGGATATCCTCGATTCCGCGGGGTGCCCCTCTCTGTATCACAGATCTCGGATCTCGCGGATTCCCGCGTCTATAAATCATTAGCTCCGCGAACTTGCGGTTCCGAAGATTCTTATAGGAAATGATGCATACGCGCGCAGCGGGGAAATTCTCCCGAGTTTCACGACGGACGTAAAAAACCGTACGTAACATCCGACGGATGTTAAATCGTATTAACATAATCGTGAGAGAGAAATTCTCGTTACGGAGAACGGCAGGAAGGGGACACCTTGATTGCATTAAATTAAATAAAAATTCAATTCATATGCGATCGTACGAAGATCGTACGAACGCGTGAACGAGCCAGTCTCTGAACGCGGTCTGAAAGGTGAATTCGAGCGGGTTATGAAGAAATCACTCATGCAACACATTGTGCGCGTTCCGTAACAGCCCGGGATTGCCGAATGTGACAACAACAACGGAACTAGCAAGGCTACAAAAAAGAGTCGCGGCCGAGCGTAGCGCGTTTAATCGGCTAAGTGCGTGCGAAAATCGTCAACCGCCGACAAGTGGCAACACCTGTTACACGAGAGGGAATTACGTTCTGTCGTCGCCGTCGTCGTTGCTACGCTCGTGTTTAACGTAATTGCCGCACGCGCAACGCGTAATTGATAACCGCGTCGATATTATTAAACCGGCGCGACGATCGTTGCGGTCTCGCCAGATGCACGTGCGTCGCTTTCAAACGTGGAGCGAGCTGCGGCCGGCATTTTTGCGTGGTTCATTTATCTCTCTCTCTCTCTCTCTCTCTTTCTTTTTTATTTTTTATGTTTTTCATCGTCTCTCGCCATAATTTAGCGAACGCAATATCGCGCGGTGATGCCCGGCGATATTCTCTGTCTCCCCCCCCCCTCCATTGTGTTGCACCGTTGCAAATAAAATTAATGCGCCGGTACTAATTACTCGTTAATTAGCCCACACCCCTCTCTCTCTCTCTCTCTCTCTCTCTTTCTCTCTATCTATCTATCTATCTATCTCTCTCTCTCTCTCTCTCTCTCTCTCTCTCTCTCTCTTTCTCTCTGTCGCACGCAGGCAAGCAGGATCATTGCAAAATCGCCCCGAGGCCGGCTCGCGGTGTATTAGGGTATCACGATTCGCGTCTTAAAAGAAATCCAGCGGGTCGACCGCGTCCGCGTCATGTAATTATCGTGCGAAATTCGCCGGAGCTTTGCGCAGCGGTTCGACCGTAACGTCGCTGTTTGCGGTCGCGCGATTAGGCAAGTGTAGCGTGCACTTGAGATGCTGCGGTTTTCTTCCCGCCGGCGTGTCGCCCGTTTCATTTCGACGTCGGCATTTTAATAACGAGGTGGGACAGCACTCGTTTATTATGGAGATTTCATGACGAGCCCGGTCTCCGCCGGTCCTGAGACGCTCCCTTCTGAAACTGGGCTACTCGAGGTCACCACGCGATTTCCGAGCCGACGCGTCTCTACCTAAGCCAGCTATCGACTGGAAATTACCGCGGGAATTGGAAGACGATTAAGAAGGGCGCGCTAAAGTGTCTTTAATTCGGGAACGGCGCAGCGTGGAAACTGCGTGCCGGAGAGCACAAAGTGTGAACGCGGAACGATTGTATTATTCACGATAATCCGAGCAATTAGTGGCTGCATGCGTCGCGTCTGTGCGGGATTAAATGTCGCCCTGTTAATGTGAGCCGTCATTAATAGAGCAAATTCCATTAATAATAAATTGATACGTGTAAAACATGCAAAATGCCTGTAATGTGACGCGCGGTCCGCCGTATATCGGCGAATAACCGAAATTAACGCGCTAACGTACTCGCTGGCGGTGTAATTTCTCGTTTAAAATGCTGACACCGTTTCGAGATCGCTTATGGTCGCTTGGACGCGCGTGCGTTATAAGGGAACACGGCGAAAACAAGGCCGGTTCCGTTGGGCGGGAGGTAAATGAAATTACTGCGATGAATCTTCGTCGGGAGTGATGTTTCAAAGCGGCGGTTAGAGAAATTGTTCGCGCGTATATATACGCAGAATAAGCGTTGCAATTAAATTCGAGATCGAGCAAGGAAACAACATGGCCCGCACGAGCGAGCGAGCACAAGCCTGAGATGCCAGACGTTAATGGCACGAATGATGCTAATAATGACGAAACGACTTAAGTACGGCGGTTAGGTAGATTTGTTCGGAGACCGCGCGGGTCTCGCAGTGAAAACTGTTACGTCCAATAGGTCTGGGTTACGGGGACATCGATTTCCTTATACACGCGCGCCGCGCAGCACGCGTCGACCGCGTGAAAAATCGCTGTCCGCTCGGCGCATTTCTACCGTACAATGTCAGCAGCCGACGAACGACCAAATACGTAACTCCGTAGACATACGGACGGACGGGAGAGACAGCCGGGAAAATGGGGTTTCATTATAGCGCTCGGTGGCAAAAATCGCACCAGCGGAATTCCTTGACCGTGTTAATCGACGTATCTCACATCTTCTCGCGTCGCGTCGTTTCGCGTCTCTGTCTATCGAACGACTCACGCGCCGTCGTCGTCGGGCCCTTCGATTTCTCGGACGTCGCGCGTCTCGCCGAGAAACGCTTTTCGTATATTCGCCGGGGGGAAAAAGTAGCTCGCGCGTTTGCTGTGCAGTCGCGGCAATACGTCTCGTTGCGCGCTTTTTATCGTTGCCGACGACATACGTATGTAGTCACTTGGCAGAGTTTCGACCGCGAATCGCCACGCCGAAACAATTCATCCGTCCACGCGCGGATTTTTACACGTCCGCAAAAACGCGCTCCCTCTCGGGGGGAAAGCGTGAACTTTTGCCGTTAAATTCCTTGCGTAGCCGGGCGCTGCGTATTTTCAAGCCTGTTCATTGACATTTAATACTCTTTGCGCGCGATTCATCCGTCCGTTCTCTTCTTCTTCCCCCCCCTCTCTCTCTCTCTCTCTCTCTCTCACTCCTTCTCTTTATCTCTGTCTATCTCTCTCATCTCCCTCCACGTCCTTCTTTGCGCGTCCCCCGTCTTTCCTCATTTTTTTGTCAATCTCTACAAACACGTGTCTTCGCTATTATATAGCTCCGTAGAAAACGCATCTTGAGCGACGCGGCTAGCGAAAGGATGTCACTATGTAGGACTGCCGCGAAAAGCGCGACTCACAGCATCGCGAGATGTAGTATAGTGTGTTTGTACAATCTTGAGACTAAATCACTTTGAAAAATCGTCCTCTTCGTATTCTTTGGTATTATTGCACGAGCAGAGCCTCGGAGTTCGGAAGAAGATTCAAGCAGCGTCGCGCCGCTCGTCACGTCGCTGTGCCCGCGACGAGAAGATCAGTGGACACATTTTGACAGAGTTTCGCAGAGTTATTCCTATACAAAGACTTCCTTTGCGACCTAAATAACATATCCAGCCCAGAAGCGAATATCCTTCTGTGGACGTCGTCTCTTTCAAGCGGGCCATAAATCTGCCGATGCGATTGGCACGAAGTCACTTTCTTTTCAATGAGGATAGATTTATTCGGTCGCCCGTTGGCGCCCATTGGCCAAATTATAGTTATTGGCGAGACCGTTATATTCAAAATGCGCACGTGTCTGTACGACGCGAGAATCACGATAAGAAACGTATCGGAGGATATTTCGAGTCTTCGAGGACGGCATTACGGTTTTTCTCGAGCATGATTTCTCTCGATTTCGGATTGATTGGACGAACAGCAACGCCGGCGAGAACTTTACTGGAAAGTTTACATAGCGCGCGTTGCACAATTCGATTCGTAAGCCTCTCATGTTCCTCGATCGCGAATCGTGTTACTCAACGGATACATTGTGAACGAATTTTTTCTTCCCCGTCTCAGGTTTTGCAACGGATCCACCGTGAATTCACGTACAGCCGCGTCGCGTTGATGTTGCCGGGAGATCACAAATTGAGCGATGATGAATAATTGCTTTATCGAAAAGAACACGTGACATAACTCGCGATATACGTTCGCGTGGAACGGTTGAAACCCCGCGATATCTTCCTCTCGTCCTTGCATCACTGCGTTTATATTTTTATTAAGATACAAAGGAAGGAGAGGGGAGGGAGAGGACCGAAGGATGCGCCGAAGATGTCGTAAAGTCGTCTTATTTCCTCGCGTTGTGTTTCGTAACGTGTAATCCGCGAAGATAAATGTCACGAGATGTGTGCAAGAAAAATTCCGATAATCATTTCTTCGTGTTTTGAAACGTGCGTTTAAGGTGCCAGTTATGCGAAAGATGTAACGCGAAATCATTCCAGTCGCGGACGAGTGTCGTTGTGATTTTATCTTCCTTCGCTTCTCGCGTGCGCGTCACGGGGATTGGGAAAATAAGATACGATCGTTCTCGAACTTTGAGATATTATTTTATTCAGAGTCCCCCGTGAGGAGGTAAAAATACTGAGAATCTTCGCTGTCCCCCGTATTTTTCGACGTTTTCATTCCGAGATCTCTTACGTGTGCGATGCGCGAAGGGAAATTTTTAATTACTTTTATGGAAAAACTTTCCGAAGAAGAATCGACGACGACGACACAGTTGTCGCGGTTGTAGACCGTCACCGAAGAGTCACCGTTTGCGTATTTGTTTTTCTATACTCGACACGTTTGGCTACTTGTTAGAGATATTCGAAACCAAGACAAACTCCACGGCATCTGCATACACTATGTGCGTGCAACAAGTATGTATTCGCAGCGTCGTGCGGTGCGTACCGTATACTCGCGCGTATATCTCTGCATGTTCACATGTGTACTCACTTTCTTCGAGGAGATGCGGTGACCAAAACGAGCAATCATCATTTCTCACTCTCACTCTCGCACAATCTCTCACTTCTCACACTCGCTTCTCTTTTCTCTCTCAGCTGAGGCTCGCCCGCGGCTTTGACGTCGCGTACATTCGCGAGGAAAGAAGAAACGCGCGCGGCTTCGTTCGAACGGTTGCGTTAAAAAAGAAAAATATGTATGCATAAAAAACTCGTTTATGTCACAGGAGTCGCACGAGTCTCGCGATCTCTCCACTCGAAGTGTGGACACACAATTTCTAAAAGTGCGGGATAAGTGCTGCTTGTGAGAGAGACGCTATTAAAGTTAATGTCAGGTTGAAATAGGAAGCAGCGTCTTCGGCCAACCCACGATGTCCCGTCTCGATTTACTTAAGGAAATTGTTAAATAAATCGCCGCGCGAACTACGAATGAAGATCCATTAGACACATACACGTGCACATACACTATATGATTTGACACTTACGCTTCGATATCGACTGTAAAGACGGAAATAAGTAATTAATCATACTTGGTTAAAATAATAAAGATGTACGTCTGCGCGATGCGCGAAGGAAATTGGCGGTTAGAAAGTGCGCGAGAGCGCGGTACCAATATCTGTGTAATATTTTCTAAATTAGTATGCCATCCTTATCTGAACGCACGTTGATGCGACATTTATAATATATGTATGTTCGTAAATCGAGACTCACCTGCAATAGAAATCCTTTTCGCGAGGAATTATCGTTCAGGTAGTTCAGCCGTAGTCGATCTTCCTTCGCGATTCGGCCGGAAGATTTGCGTCGTGCGCGCGCTTATGAGAAAGGTGAGAGTGAATAGCCGGGAGCATCTTCATTCAAGCTTTATATAGGTATTGTACCCCCTTACCTAGGCACTCTGTAGAAAGAGCGTGCCATCACCCGAGCCGTAATTTTATCATCAACGAGAAGACGAAAAAAGCACTCGCTGACGAAATTGCATTAGGCGAAAATATCCCCACATTCGAAGTCCTGCCGATGTTTACGCCCTGCCCATTTCGGTATTACCTTCGGATTTCTTTGTCAAATTAACTGCACGTTCTCGTTTTCGCCATTGCAAATAGCGCGAAGATAAAATCATCGACCTTGGATCAACGACGGTAATGATAATAAAAAATAATCTTTAATAAAAAATATATAAGTAGATTATTCGAGAAACAAGGGAAAGAAAACAATATCGACATTATAAAATACGACATTATAAATACTGCTTGCTTCACATATCTTGTAATAATAAACATATCTTTTAATACACATATGTCTATGCGCTATATAAGAAGAAACAGAATAACATAATAACATTATGCAATTTCTGTGCTTAACAATATTCCGCGTTTACTTTGTTTAATTTCTAGAAAGACAGGTATATACACCAGATCCGAAAGTGACATAAATATAATTTGGGACATCGGCAAAAGATTAGGAATATTCATCCTTACAAAAATAACGTCGTGCGTTTTACATCCTTCACGACACGGCTAAATTCCGTCCTACGAAGTCAACGAAATAAATCGATAAACGACAATTTAAATGATTTAACGCGTGCTATTATCAGATCTGTAGCGTCGCTTCCTGAGATTGACGTGCGCGCTTAAGAAAGCGCGACTTTCTGAGTCACGTTCGGGAATAATGACGATAATATATGAATTCCTGCGTTCGAAGATTCGTCACCCGTACAAGGAGCGACGACACTTTGAACATGCGGTCTTTTCCGGGTACGAAGTGCGTTCCTAATTTGGCGCGCGATGGAAAACCTATATTTTTCCCCGAATGAAATACGATCTTCCGCCTCTTGTACCTGGCGAATGAATTTTCCGGTTGCGACCTAATTCGTCCGTCCTGAATCCGTTTATAATTCACATGACGGATCGTGTGGATACAGTCGTGTGACGAATCTTATGCAACCTGCAACTTGTGCCTTAGAACACGATCTTTAGAATTCTATGGTAATCACATGGCAGTCATATTAATCGAATTAATGAGGTAATAAAGGGAAATTACATTGCTTACGCGCTTATACGTGACATACATTGTCCTACAATCCTCTCGTCGCTTATCAAAAAACTTATTAGAATTTTATGCAGTCTCTGAATTAACTCCAACTCAATTTTTTGTTATTACATTTCTTTCTCATTATAACATAATGCATAATGTTATTGTCGCAAATATCATTCACAAGGCGAAAGATTGAATATTGTATGTGTACTTTTACTCGTTTCTTCTAAAACAACAGAGCAAAAAGAAAATGCGAAATCAGAGAAGTTGAATCTCAACAAATTGCGAATAATTGGCTCATACTTTATATGTCGCGCAGTTAATATGAAAGATATGAATCGCGTTTCTACGAATAGCGCGTGACCAAAATCGAACTCGTTAGATAAAATTCGCGGTTTTACTAGCGTCATGACCTTTAACCGAGAAAGAGAGACAGAACGGGGACTTTACGAAAGAGAAAGTTGACGTAACAATTCAAGCGAAAATATATTTGTGGGCACGGCGATTTTACGCCAGACAAAGTAACTAAGCGCGTGGATTGCCTGATCGAACGCTCCTCCGTAGAATTTATTTTGTCATGCGAGAGAGATAGATAAAGAGAGAGAAATGACAGGGAGAGAGAGAGAGAGAGAGAGAGAGAGAGAGAGAGAGAGAGAGAGAGAGAGAGAGAGAAACGAAACAGAGCATCACACCGCTGCCGGTATGAAATTCAACAATGAGACATTTATCTATTATTATACCTACATGATAATCGAAGGGGGTTAAATATTCAGCGCGTTTCCGCAGTCAGGTTGCCTCGAGGTCCGCGAGGGTGGCAAATGCGAACGTGAGTGCACCGATGTACCTGACGTCGTAACTGCTCATCATACATCATTACGTGCCATTAGACTTCTCCGACATGTATTTCGCGAGAACATTTCGGGAATAGATTTCGCACGGTAGCTTCGCGCCACGGCCTCTCTCGCTCGTGTCTACGTGAGCGCGGTTTTGCCGGACGCAACAAAGTGCAACAGCTGCCGCGCAACGCAAAATGTGCTGCCACCTGCTCACCCAGGTAAGACCGTAACGCTGCATCGGTACACGTCGAGACGGTTTTGCGAGTGCTATTAAGTAGCGCGCGCGCGTATATGCTGGTTACGTATTTTAGGTTTGGAAAAAGTTTACAGCATGATTAGAATTCTCTTTCTCTCTCTCTCTCTCTCTCTCTCTCCCTGTCATTTTCTCTATTTTTATCTATCTCTTTTCTTCTCTTACTTTCGCTCGTTTGCTCGTTCCTTCTCTCGCGTGCGCCATCGCAGGCTGCGGTAATTATCGGTTAAGCAACGCGGCAACCGTTGCCAGGAACCGGACGGACAAAGAGAACCTTCTACCTTATTGGCGCGTTTGGAATGGCCTCGCTGCCGTTTTCCGGCATATCTCCGTCGAGAGCTGTACTACGCAATGCGTTTTTCAGCGACGGTGCGGTCAATAAATTTAACGAGATAATCTAGAGGTTATTCATGTTCCACGCCTCGTGGGTTTAATTTCCCTCTCGACGTGCTTTCGACGTTCGCGTTCGCAAGGCCGTGTTGTTTGGAAACAAGAAGGGTTGAAGGAAAGATAGGGGCAAGGGGTAAAATTACGAAATTGATCGCGCGTGTGCACGTTTATCGTGTTTCCACGAAATAATATTTTGTTTAAGCTATATTTTATTCATAAACAGTGCGCGCGCGTGCGCGCACGTTTCCCGCTTCTCGACGGCAAAACAATATCGCGGTGTAATCGACGCGTTACTCACGTCTACGTAATTACTTCTCGTTATCATAACTCTCTCGAGCATTCCTATTACGTCACACGTTAAATAATAAAAACGTCACGTGCCGCGGCAATTACCTCCGCGCACGCATCTCGTACGCGAATAACAACAGGACAAAAATTGCCCGTGGCTCACGCGCTATTACGCTTTAAAGCGTGCACTTTATAAAGACCGGTTGAAAGAAGGGAAGGAAAAAAGGAGAATGCGCGCTTTATTTGCACTGAAACCAACGGCAAAAGTATCACTAATACCGGCTAAATACGCGAGAAAATAAGACATTGACATAAGAAAAAGGAAATAGAAGATAGAAGAAAGGCAAGACCTGCGACTTCGTGTTGAATCGAGATGGAGCCGGGCATAATTACAAATACATAAATCTGAAAGACAAGAAGAGAGGACGTTTTGCAATTCATATTATCTGTCATTGTAGTCCTGCATTTCCCAAGTAATTTATTATCGCTCATATGTGCCGGCTATTAAACAATCGCGTTCGACATTAAACCGCAGTGAGAATGCGAATTGGCGGTAATTGGTGGACGTGACTGCAACCAACATGGTAGCGAGCATACGAGCGACGTGTTTTATTCTAAGGGGAAATAACGATAATCACTCGCGATAATAATGTCGAGACCGTCACACGTGCGCACGATGACGTACGATTTCTCGATTAAACGGAGCGCAGCGGAGGAGAAACGCGGCTTCGAACGATTATCGCCGGAAAACCACCTTCTCGCCCCGTTTCATTCCGGATCGTGATCGCATCCCCCCTCGCCCCCCCCCCAGTCCATCGAACCCTCTGATTGTGTGCACGCGTGTGATTCTCACGCGTTAAAATATACGGACGCAGAGCCGCAAAGGTAAAAGCATTAGTCGGCCCATTACGCCGGTGCCTTTTACACAATCCGGTTAGATCCCGAGTGCCTTATGTCTCTCGCGCGTGCGTGTCGAAATGCAGCGTCGGGACAGCATCTCGCCGACGTCGTATCGGCTCCGTGATAACCCAACCGTCGTCCATCAATCATTGCGCAGCAACGTTCGTCGCAGGGGCCCGTAAACACATGGGATCCCCGTGTCGCAGCGACGCGGCCGGCAGGTGAGATTGGATACCTATTCTCGCTCGCGCGCGCGCGCGCTTCCATTTCGAAGCATGAGATTATTAATTACCGGCGCTGCCGCGCCGTCCCTACGCTGCTATCAATCGCGCGACACGATGTTCCCCCGGACAAGTTTCGAGATAATCACCAAGTTCTCTAACAGGCACTTAATATTCGATCGCTTCCGGCCCAATTTTCGACATCCGGCATCACGAACTCTCTGAATGGAGCATTTATCCGAGGTGCGAAAATGCCGCCTGACTGGGATATTTGCAATGCGGAACGCTCTCCGATCGATTTTAGGAAGATGAGAAAGGAAATCTTTTCTTTTGTCTTTTTTTCTTTCTCCCCGTCGTATACATTCTCTCTCTCTCTCTCTCTCTCTCTCTCTCTCTCTCTCTCTCTCTCTCTCTTTCTTCGCCTCATATACTCTCTTGCCCTCTTTTTCATCCCCTCTTTTTCGTCCTCTTTGTTGAATTCTATATTTGCAGTCTAACTGTGCAATTTGCACGTTTATACCGTATTAAATAAAGGCGAATATATGCATGCGAGGAACGTCATTGCAACGCGTTAAGCGTACCAGTTTGCCGGATGAAATGTTTACAATGTAAATATGTAAGCGCGTGGGTTGTTAATGAAACTATATTTCGTTATTCATATTTTACATTATATCCAGGAGCGAAATGTGCCAGGATTTTCGTCTTGTACAATATACGCAGCGGTTAAAATTCCGCATGCGCGCACATTCATGCGCGTGCTCCTTATCAAAAATTTCGCAGTCGGCACATTTCGTCGATAAGGATCAAATTTCGTTAGCCTTAATCGCGATGAGCGATAATTCGTAAATTAATTCGCGAATTCGCGCAACGTCGCATCGTCGT